ATTTTATTTATTTGACAGAGAGAGACACAGTGAGAGAGGGAACACAAGCAGGGGGAGCGGGAGAGGGAGAAGCAGGCTTCCCGCGGAGCAGGGAGCCCAATATGGGTCTCGATCCCAGGACCCTGGAATCATGACCTGAGCCGAAGGCAGACACTTAACGACTGAGCCACCCAGGCGCCCCTTATTTATTTATTTTAAATATACCTTTTTATTCTATTGTATACAGTATACAATGGAATATTATGCAGCCATCAAAAAATGAAATCTTGCCATTTGCAACGACGTGGATGGAACTAGAGGGTATTATGCTAAGCGAAATAAGTCAGTCAGAGAAAGACAATTGTCATATGATCTCACTGATATGTGGAATTTGAGAAACAAGACAGAGGATCATAGCAGAAGGGAGGGAAAAATGAAACAAGATGAAACCAGAGAGGGAGACACACCGTAAGAGACTCTTAATCTCGGGAAACAAACTGAGGGTTGCTGGAGTGGAGGAGGGATGGGGTGGCTGGATGATGGACACTGGGGAGGGTATGTGCTATGGTGAACACTGTGAATTGTGTAAGACTGATGAATCACACGGGCACCTGGGTGGCTCAGTCGTTAAGCATCTGCCTTCAGCTCAGGTCATGATCCCAGGGTCCTGGGTTCCAGCCCCGCTTTGGGCTCCCTGCTCCGCGGGAAGCCTGCTTCTCCCTCTCCCACTTCCCCTGCTTGTGTTCCCTCTCTCGCTGTGTCTCTCTCTGTAAACTAAATAAATAAATAAAATCTTTAAAAAAAGAAAAAAGACTGATGAATCACAGACCTGTACCCCTGAAACAAATAATACATTATATGTTAATAAAAAGTAAAAATAAAAATAAAATGTACGTTTTTAAAGAATACCATTCAGTGGTTTTTAACGTATTCTCAGAGTTGTGTAATCATCACCACTATCTAATCCCAGAACATTTCATCAACCCGAAAAGAAAACCTTTACGCATGAGCCGTCACTATCCTCCCTCTCCAGCCCCTGGTAACCACCAATCTGCTTTCTGTCCGTGTGGATTCATCTGTTCTGGACGTTTCATATACGTGGGATCCTACAACACGTGGCCTTTTGTGTCTGGCTTCCTTCACTCAGTACATTTTCGAGGTTCATCCATGTCATAGCTTGAATCAGTGCTTCATTCCTTTTTTCTGGCTGAATAACATTCCATTGTGTGGATGGACCACATCTTGTTTCTTCACTCATCTGTGAACGGACAGTTGAGTTTTCCCACTTTTTAGCTATTGTGAATAGTGCTGCTATGAACATTCACACACAAGTTGTTGTGTGGACATATGCTTTCAGTGCTCTTGGGTTTACACTTAGGAGTAGAATTCCTGGCTCATATGGTAACTCTTTATTTCAGACTTTTTCAAAAACTGCCAGACTGTTATGGGCTGTCCAAAGCAGCCGCTGTTATGGGCTGAGTAGCATTCTTCCAAAAACTTGTATGTTGAAATCCTCACCATCCGTACTTCAGAATGTGGCTATATTTGGAGATAGGGCCTTTATGGTTTTTTTTTTTTTATATTTTATTTATTTTTTTGAGAGAGCACAAGGGGGTGGGGCAGAGGGAGAGGGAGAAGCATTTATGTATTTATTTGGGAGAGAGAGCACGAGTGGGGGGGGAGGCAGGGCGGGGGAAGGGGGAGTAGGAGAAGCAGAGTTCCTGCTGAGCAGGGAGCCCGATGATGCGGGGCTCAATCCCAGGACCCTGAGATTGTGACCTGAGCCGAAGGCAGACGCTTAACCGACTGAACCACCCAGGTGCCCCAGAGATAGGGCCTCCAAAGAGGTAAGTAAGGCAAAATGAGGTTATTTGGGTGGATCCTAATCCATTATGTGGTGTCTTTATAAGAAGAGATAAGATAGGGCGCCTGGGTGGCTCGTCGGTGGAGCGACTGCCTTCGGCTCAGGTCATGATCTCAGGGTCCTGGGATTGAGCCCCGCATTGGGCTCCCTGCTCAGCGGGAAGCCTGCTTCTCCCTCTCCCACCCCCACCCCCGCTTGTGTTCCCTCTCTCGCTGTGTCTTTCACTGTCAAATAAATAAATAAACCTTTAAAAAAAAAATAAAACATCTCAATGATCCTCTGGAGGCATCAGAAAGTTCTGGCTGAATGAATGAAAAATGTTCTTATTGGTGAATGATGCCTACAAATGTGTTTGATAAACAAACTAACAGATTTTTGCCTTGCAAACTCATACTTACCCTTCAACATTCTCCTTAGATGCCCTCCGGGGGCATTAGGGTCTTGTGGCCACTTGGAAAGACGCTCAGCCCTCCTCTGACTACAGGTCAATCACCCCGGAAGAAAAACGGAAACCGAGGGGGTGGGGAAATTCTGTGGTCCCTCCTGTCACGATTTCCATTTCCGGGGGCCCCTTTTAACCCAGTCCTTCCTGCCTCCCCCTCCCCGCAGCTAGTGAGGCATCTGAAAGTGGGGCAGCCCTAGGGGCATATCCTGGCTGGGTTTCTGGGGCAGCAGGAAGGGGCCCATAAAGGCACCCTGAGGGCTTCCTGGAGTAGGGGGCAGGCAGGCCAAGCTGGGTGTGCAGATTTGGCATGGGGAAGGTGAAGTGTGGTGAACCCCGGGGCAAGCTTCAGATCCCGACTTTGATAAGGGTAGAAACACCACCTCACCTGCTCATACACCTGCTTTGGTTCCCCAGTGCCCTTGGGAGAAAGCCCAGCCTTTCAACCCGGCTCTTGAGGTCCCCAGCTGCCTTAGCACCTTCGTCTCTCCTGTGGAGCCCCAGACCTGCCATGTTCATCCTGATGTTCCCCAAAGCATCCCCTGAACTTTTGCCTCTGCTGTGCCCTCAGCCAGGAATGCTCTTTCCGTAAACGAGTTCAAGAGCCCCCTTCTCTGGGCATCCCTCCGAACTCCCCCTTGGGACATCCCCAGCCTCTGCCCCTCCCTGCACCCAGCCCTGACGCCAAGGAGCTGGGGGCATCTGTGTCCAGCTCTGCCCCCTCCTCCACTTTTCTCCCTCCCTCAGTGTCTTTCCAGTAGCTACTCTGACTTTGGGGGGGCTGGGAAAGAGCTGCAAAGGCCACTGGGGGTCCCCCAAAATGATTAATTATATCATCTGCCTGGTGGGCATTACCTGCCAGGAGCCCAGCCCTCCTTTATCCTCACGATGGCCTATTTTGCAGATGGGGTAGCTGAGGCCTGGAGGGGCCAACCTTGGTGGTGGGGCAGCCCTGGGGCGTGAGGCTTACTCCCAAGATGCAAAGCTCAGCCTCGCGGCGGGGGCGGGGGGGGGGGAGGAGCCCTCTGTCTGAATCCATCTCTTTCTGTGCAGCTGGGGACTCGAGGGGTCTGGGCACTTTCAGGGCTCAGTTTCTCCATCTGCAAAATGGGACACATAAATGGTGTCTCCTGGAGTAGGGGTCTCAGGATCCTCTAGAGGAGGCCAAGGGTTTGGCCCTATTTCTAACCATCGTTTCCATTTTTCTTTATGTTTCTCTCAATCTGTCTCTGTCTTTGTCTCTGTCTCTCTGTCTCTGCCCTTCCCCCAGGCCACACACATCAGTCCTACAGCCCACTCCACCCTCTGGCCTGGCCTACTGCCAGTCAAGGCTGCTCTGTGCAGGGTCATGGGGTCCCCGTCCCCATTGTGCCAGGCCTGGGACACTGCCTCTTTGTTCCCATGGCTCTGACCTCATGGCCTCCTGGGCGCCTGACCCTGACTGGCCCAGCTGACATCGGAGAACACTGGCTACTCATGGGGCTGGCACCTTCTGTCCAGCTGGGGCTTGGGCCAGCAGAATACACCCCCAGATCCGTGGCCCTGGATCAGACTTGCCCCACGGGTGGGTTTGTGGCCGGGATAAGGCCACCACCACCGAGCTGACTTCCTGGGTTTCTCTTTCAGTTTGACTTGCACCAGGAGGGGCCATGACACCTAACTTTTTTTTTTTTTTTTAATCTTTTAAGTCTTCTTTCTTACTCAGCTTTAACATGTTCAGGGGCGAGGACGGGGTGGCTGGCAGAAGTTCATCTGGGCCTGCAGGCCTCTGTGTGGGCTCAATGGGGCAGGCGTGGGCCAGGCTGGTCCCCCTCCTTCTGCTCCTGCTCCCAGGGCGAGGCGGTGAGTGCCCCACCCTGACACCATGGCTCTTCTTGCTGGGTGGCATGTGTGTGGAGGGCTGTGGACCTGGGATCTGGGGTAGGTTCTGTGTCTCTGGGCCTCAGTCTGACCCTCTTGTCAAACGGGAGATTGGCTTCTAGGGTCAGACTTGGGCATCTGCGCTCTGGTCTCGACTTTGTCTTCTGTGGAATGGGCAGAATCTCTGAATCTTTCCCTCTTCCCGGAGTTCTGTGAGAAATGCTAAGAAAAGGATAAGGAGGGGCGCCTGGGTGGCTCAGTCAGTTGGGCATCTGCCTTCAGCTCAGGTCATGATCCCAGGGTCCTGGGATCGAGCCCCACGTCTGGCTCCCTGCTCCGCGGGGAGCCTGCTTCTCCCTTTCCCTCTGCCTGCCACTCGGCCTGCTTGTGCTCTCTCTCTCTGTCAAATGAATAAATAAAATTTTAAGGGCGCCTGGGTGGCTCAGTCATTAGGCGTCTGCCTTCGGCTCAGATCATGATCCCAGGGTCCTGGGATCGAGTCCCACATCAGACTCCCTGCTCGGCAGGGAGCCTGCTTCTCTTTCTACCCCTGCCTGCCATTCCCCCTGCTTGTGCTCTCTCTCAAATAAATAAATAAAATCTTTAAAAATAAATAAATAAATAATAAAATCTTAAAAAAAAAAGAAAAAGGATAAGGAAAAGTATGTAGATAATTGATATACATGATCACTGATTATGTTTATAGTGTATATTATATTATTATATTAAACATATGCACATACTGTCTCTCCATCTCGTGGAATCGGATGGGAAGGAGTCCAGACCCCTGCAGATGACTGGGTTTGAACTCTAATTCCAGCTCTGCTGTTGCTGCTGTGTGACCTCGGGCCCCTACTTTGCCTCTCTGTGCCTCAGTTTCCCTCTCTGTAAACTGAGGATCAGCAAGGTTTCAGGGCCCTCAGGGGTCAGGCAGGGCTGGAGACCAGAGACTGGGAGGAGGACAGGGGATCCTAAGTTGCTTTGGAAGAGCAGCCTACGAGGTTGATGAGTGGATGAATGAGCGGGTGGATGGATGGGTAGATGTGGTAGATGGATGGAAGGGTGGATGGATGGATGGATGGTTGGATAGTAGGACAGATGAATGCATGCATGCATGGTGGGTGGATGGGTGGAAGGTTGGATGTGTGGACGGATGGGAGGCTGGGTGGGTGAATCCATAGATGGGAGAGTGGATGTGTGGATGGATGGTCACTTGGCAAGCCCCCAGCCTGAGCCCCTTCCCCATGCAGTGAAAGACTGGGAATGTCATTATCTCTTCGTTGTCTTTGCAGCTGAAGCCTGCAGTACCAGTGGGTGCTGTTTTCAGGACCCGCCATATCCGGATGCAGACTCAGGTCTGAGACAGCTCCCCCTTGTGGGGAGAGGTCATGCTGGGTTCTGACCGATCCTTCCCTAGCAGGTCCTCTCTCAGCTCCCTCCTGCCCATCCAAAGATTCAGGCCCACCCGAGGTCTAGCCTACTGTCAGCCCACTTTCAGACAGCCTACTGTCCTGTCCTCACCAAGCTCGGGTGTCCTGGGGTCCCCCACCAAGGGTCTGCCACCGAGCAGGCACTTCGTCCATTCTTTTGTGCAAGAACTATTTACCGAGCACCTACTGTGTGCAGACACAGTCCTAGGTGTGAAAGAATCAGCTACAAGCCCAACTGACTTCCTGGGGTCAGAGCCAAGTGTGGGAGGTGGATAAAAGGCAAACAAACACACAGATAGCATACCAGCATGTGCTATGAGAAACCAAACAGAGGAAGGTGGGGGACAGAGGAGGGGGCTGCTTCAGGCTGGCTGGTGGTCAAGGAGGTGACACTGAAGGAGAAACTGGAATGTTAAGATCTGGGGGAAAAGCATTCCAGGCAGCTGGCTCAGCATGTGCAAAGGCCCTGAGGTGGGAGTGAGCCCGGTGTGTTTGAGGACTGGTGAGGAGGCTGGTGTGGGTGGAGCAGGGGGAGCAGGGGAGAAGGCAGGAGACAGGAGGAAAAGGTGCAGGGAGGGTGCTGGGAGTGGGCTGAGGCTGAGGTTGACACCGGATTACTTAAATGTCACAAAGATTCATCCTGAGCGCGCACCAGCAAGGAGGGCCCTCCTCCCCACTCTTGGTCCATTCTCAAACCTCTGGGATCTCCTCCAGGCTCGGCTTCAGGCCCCAGGGACCTGAACTGCTACCGGATAGTCAGCGCTGGTTATGAATGTTCCTGGAAGTATGAGGGCCCCACGGCTGGGGTCAGCCACTTCCTGAGGTGCTGGTGAGGACCCTGCCCCAGTCCCCAAACCCTCACACGTCATCCCGCACTTGCTCCTGCCCCCATGCCCCTGCTCTCAGAGGTGTGACCTTAGCAGGGTCCTTGCCCTTCCTGGAGGCTGAGTGTCTCATGTGAGAAGGGAGGGTGAGGACTCTATTTGGGGGGGGGGCGGCTGTCAATGTAGGTGGGCATCCAGATTGGGTGGCAATGAAGGTCCCTCTAGTCCTTCCTTCCTCCTCACCCTCTCACCCATTTGTCCATCCTTCCATCCATTCATTCATTTCTTCCTTCGGCCTGTGGCAGCCCATCTTGCAAGATTCTGGGGTCCCCCAAACCGCTCCATTGCAGGGCTGATCCCCATAGAGTCCCCAGGCTGGGGGGCGGGGAGTCAAAGGGGCAGAAGAAGATGCTGGGATGTGATGCGCACCATCTGCTGGGGCTGCTGAGCCACGCTGAGTGTCCCTAGGACGCCAAACTCAGCACCAACGCTCCCCTCGCACAGCCTCAAGTCCGGGCACTGCTGCTACTTCGCCGCGGGCTCAGCCACCAGCCTGTGGTTCTCTGACCAGGACGGCATAGCTGTGTTTCAGCCCGTCACACTCTGGGTGGAATCTCGAGCCGAGAACCAGACGCAGAAGTCGCCTAAGATCACCCTGAAGCTTCATAGCGCAGGTCAGCACCCTGTTCTCCTCCTCCCTGCTGCCCCTTCCTCACCCACGGACGCCGCTGATCCCTGAGCCTAGATCCACGCGGATTTGGGCCAGGGGCTTGATAATGCCAATGATTTTCACATCAAACATTGCTGCGGGACATGGCAGAGTTTTTCACGGTCCCCTCGCCAATCCCCAGCTGCTGGATACTTCGGTTGCTTCCGGTTTCTCCCTGAAACTGTAATACTGCCGGGACCTTGTTGGGTCTTCAATATCTGTTTTCACGACGCAACCACGTACATATAAAACATCTAGAATTTGCACTGCTACTCTGCTACGCTGAGTCACAGGGGACAGGAGCGAGGCCAACACAGTTTGCAGCTCTGGGCTGGGATTAGGGTGAGGTGAGGGAGGAAACTGCCTTGGGCACAAAATTGTAAGGGGGTGCCAAAAAACTCAGTAGTCAACACAAATAATTCTGTAAAGCGATATTTAAAAAAAATCAAAATTAATGCCAAAAAAATCCATGATGAACAAAATATCAAATTTTAAGATGAAGACAGGATCCGACCGTGTATTTGTACAACTTTGTCTTTCTTGCCTTCCTGGAGTCCTGTCCCTGTCTCTGCCCTCATGGAGCCCAGATTCACATGGGAGTGATGAACAGGAATGATTATTACATATGAGGAGATACTGCTGGGAGGTCAAGGAGGCCTCCAGCTCAAGCTGAGCCTGGAAGGATAAAAAGGATCCAACAAGAATAAAGTGTAGAGAAGTGTGTTCCAGGCAGAGGGCACAAGGGCATAGCAAGTGCAAAGGCCCTGAGGTAGAATCAGGCATGGTACGACCAAGATGCAGAAAGAATGATAGATGTTTCTTTTTAGGTCTGGGTCTAAAAAATTAGTAAGATTTCCCTCATAGTCCTCTAAAAAAAGTAGATTCAATTAATTATCCTCTTGTCAGCAATTCACAAAAGTTCCCGTCTCACCAAAATGCTGCCACAAGGAGTGTCAGTCTTGAATCTTTGATCCATAGAATCCCAGGCTTAGATGGAACCTGTAAGGGTTTCCCTGATGCACATACTGGGGACTCGGTTGGTTATCCTGGGCTGGGTGGGGCAGATTTTCTGAAATTTTCAGGACCAATAACTCGCACATATGCTGGCTTCCCTCCCCAACCCCCATCTTTGCTCCCAGTTAAATACGACCCTCCGTCAGCCAGAGACATCACCGTGTCTGGGTCCGCGGGGCAGGTGCTCTTGAAGTGGGAGACCCCAGCCCGCCAGGATGGCGCCGAGGTGCAGTTCCGGCACCGGACACCCGGCAGCCTGTGGAAGTTGGTGAGTTTATTCCCCAGGTCAGGAGAGAACACAGGCTTCTCCTCAGGGAACATGACCCCCAAATCAGTTTCACCAGCTCTACATCTATCACCCCTCCCGCCTGGCCTCCACTCTTGCCCTGTAGCTAGCTTCTGGAGTCTCTTTGACACTCAGATCTCATCATGACCTCCTTTGCTCACACACCCTCCATTGCTCCCTATTACCTTCAGGAGGGCATCCTTTCCTCAGCTGGCCCCAGGTACGCTCACTCACCTCGCGCTTCCTCTGGCCCCCTCCGAATGGCCATCATTCTTCATCCATGCCCTCATTTCCAGACTCTGCCTTTGCCCATGCAGTCTCCTCCATCTGCACACCTTCTTCTCCATCTGAGCTCATGAGAATCCAGCCCACCTTCAGGGTCCAGCTCAAGGACCACCTCTCTAGGAAGCTGCCCTTCCACTCACTCAGCTTCCTTTCCTCCTTTCTTCCTTCCTTCCTTCCTTCCTTCCTTCCTTCCTTCCTT